AAAAAAAAAAAAAAAAAAGAAGTAAATGAACAAATATTTACTAATTCCAATTACTATTAGCTGTACTTTTTTTTTTTTTACCGGAGATCGAACTCAGGACCTTGCGCTTGTGAGGCAAGCAGTGGAACCACTGAGCTAAATCCCCTGCCCAGATTAGCTGTACTTTCGATATCACATGGAAGACACAACCTAATGGTCATCACATCTAAATAAAATTTAAATTCAGGAATTTGTAATTATTGAGTAACGTGCATGCTCTATGTTTTTATTATCATATCTGCTCATCTGTTATTGTATAATAAATTAAAGTATCTAACTTTATGCCTATACTGTTATTCTTGTGTGGCTAAGACATTACTTTTTTGGTAGTTCGTAAGAATATTTATTTTTTCTGTTTTATTTTTATCTAGGCCAATAAGCCCTCTCTTGGATCAAAATACTCCTGACTTCACTACGTTTTGTTCAGTTGGAGAATGGCTACAAGCTATTAAGATGGAGAGATATAAAGATAACTTCACAGCAGCTGGTTATAACTCCCTTGAGTCAGTGGCTAGGATGACTATTGAGTAAGCTTAAACTTTTTAAATTATGTTTGAGAATTGATTAGGTACACGTCACATTAGGCCAGCACAAATTCGGGGGGAGGAGTTAAAAAGTTGCTTCCTCTGTAAATATAAATTATCACTTTAAATGCTTCCAGTTACCATTTGATTCAGTGAACAGTTACGTATTCATTTCACAAATGATGAAGCCGAGACTCAGATAGGTTAAATATCTTCTCTAAGCTAACTCAGCTGGTATGTGCAAAAAAAACCAAAAAAAACAAAAAAACAGGGCAACACAGGTACTCTATACCCTACCCATGGAGGCGTCCTCTCTCATTAACCTTGTGAGTCATTTAGGTCCCTGCTCTCTGGGAAAACTTTCTCCATTGCAAAGTAGTATTTCTTGTACTGTGTTTGTATCAGACACTAAAAACTCTAAATGTCATGTCCACTTCCAAAATCTATTAGGATGCCCAGTACAGTTACTTTCTGATGAGGTCACTGGTTACTTCATGCAAATAACTGTACCTAAGGGTTGTATTTACTTTTTGGAAAGTATGTGACTGATTGAATTGTTTTAACCTTAAAAAATTACCCACTCGAACAACTTTTGAGATTGCTATGAACTTGAAGTTAAGAACTAAATTTTCCTTCCTAGCTGCATTACTGATCATGTGATCTTAGAAATAATATCTCTGAACCTCAGTTTCCCTGCCTACAGCATACCTCTCATGGATGACTCCGTCCCTCTCAGTCAGTGTGTGTGAAACAGAAGCATTATCAAGATTCTATCTGTGAAGTCTTATTTAGTTACTTAATTTGTTAGTTTTGGGGTTGGTTTTTGTTTGCTTGTTTGTTTGTTTGTTTTTGAGACAGGGTCCTCCTCTGTAGTGCAGGCTGAGCTTGAACTCACTCTGTAACTCAGGCTGACCTCAAACTAACAGCGGTCCTGTTTCAGTCTCCCAAGTGTTGGAATTACAGGTGTGTTCCACTACACTGGACTATGAAGTCTGATTTATGTACGGACATGAGAAGGGTTTCACCTTTCTCGTAGGAGAAGTAAACCAGAAATCAAATACTCTTCCTGTTATACATAGGGAAGTGGCATGTACATGAATTTAAGCATGTGCATATTCTTATTTGATTTTATTCTAACCACTGTGTTCATAAAGGTAGTATTCTTACACACAGATCCCCACAGTACTCTGAAAAAATGTACTTCTTAAAGTTCCTACTCTGAAATACTATAGTATTATAATGTTTTAGCTGCTTGTAAATATCTAAGTTCAATCTTTCTGGCCAATAGAAAAGGCCAAATTATATAAACAGATTTAATTAACGTATTTTGAATTGGAACATTAAGCATTTCACTGCTTTTAATATGTTTTCCCTGACATATAGTTGAGTAAGTGAACTGAAGTATACAATAAATAATGTGCTTAGAATTACGAACATGACAAACTCAGTATAAAATTTTCTAATCAGCCAGGCTCATACCTATAACTCCCACCTACTCAGAAGACTGAAATAGGAAGATCCCAAGCTCAGGGATCCCAAGTTCTTTTCCACAGCCTTGGCAACTTCATGGGACTATGTCTCAAAATTAAAAAAAATATATATATATAGATAGATAGATAGATAGAGATATAGATATAGATATATGTATATATAATTACAAGGGATGGAGGTGTAGCTCAGTGGTACAGTACTTACCTAGCATGTGTGAAATCCACAGTGCCACTATGCACACAGGTACACACACAAAGTATGTGAGCATGATAGCACTGATGAATCCTGATCTCCCACTGGGTCCCCCCAACTTCCATTCACACTATATCCTATGTTTCCAATTGAAAAATTGTAGGGCTAGCCAGATTCAAAAGTACGCTTCAAATAACCTTTCCTAACTATGTAAGTTTATATTTATAAAGATTTTAATAACTGTACATATAAGAAACATTTCAGATCAGTCCCCAAATACCTACTCTGGGGCAAATTGAGAGCTTCAGTAGTTGGGTTTTTACTAAGGAGAAGGTTGATGATGCAGGTTGCTAATATAATCCCTGTAGAAATATGGTCGGATGCCATGAACACTAAGAAGATAACAGAGCAGCTAATTAAACAGTTGATGACTGTTAAAAAACCTTATGAATTCTTTGCAAAGTACCTAATTAAAATGTGTTTGTCTTTTTCAGAGATGTGATGAGTTTAGGGATCACACTGGTTGGCCATCAAAAGAAAATCATGAGCAGCATTCAGACTATGAGAGCACAAATGCTGCATCTACACGGAACTGGCATTCAAGTGTGAGAAGTGTTTCTCCCTCCTTGGGAGTTGAAAGACTAACAGAGAAGAGTACTGGCCTCCAGTTTATGCATAGAGTGCTGCTAGAAGACAGCTGATGTATGGGTCGTTCCACAGAACAGAAGGTGTAGGAAGCACCTACAGACTTGAAATCCTAAGTGCCACCAGAATATACAAAAAGGGAATTTAGGATCCACCACTGGTGGCCAGGAAAACAGCAGTGACAATAAACAAAGTACTACCTGAAAAACATCCAAACACCTTGAGCTCTCTAACCTCCTTTTTATCTTATAGACTTTTTAAAATGTACATAAAGAATTTAAGAAAGAATATATTTGTCAAATAAAATCATGATCTTATTGTTAAAATCAATGAAATATTTTCCTTAAATATGTGATTTCAGGCTATTCCTTTTTTAAATCATTTGTGTTTATTCTTCATAAGGACTTTGTTTTAGAAAGTTGTTTATAGCTTTGAACCTTTTTAGTGTAAATTTATGACACATTGCTACACTGGGTACCTTTGAAAGAATCTCAAATCAAAAACAAACAAACAAAAAAAACATAGCATGGATTAAGATATGTCTTTGTAACAGCATTGGTATCCTTTTTGTGCCATTTGATTCTGTTTAATCAGTGCTGTTTTGATATTGTTTGCTAATTGGCAGATAGTCCAGACAATGCAAGTTGCCAAGAGCTCTGATATTTTTTAAAAGTAAATTTTTTTGTAAAAATCAGACAACACACTAACTTTTCAATGAACAAAGCAATAATGATCCATAAATACTCTAAGGCACTTTTAACAGATTGTTTATAGAGTGATTTTACTAGACAGAATTTAATTAATAAAACTCAAATTTTAGGTTCGTGTCTATATTTTAAAAAGATGAGGCACTTCACCTAAAGAATGCAGGTGGAGGCAAGTCTCTGAAAGCAAAAACTATCCAGTGTTATCTAAAGTTTAGTCTGAGCTTCTCAAGATTTTTCAGTCTTGTGACATTAGGCAGTTTTAGAGAAATAGTTAACGTATATTTTATATTCTTTTCTGTTGAAATGCAGTCCAAACATGAAAGGAAAGAAATTAAGTTTTATATTAGAACTCTGAAGCATGATATAAGGGGCAGTTCACAATTTTCACCTTTGGGAAACAAATCTGCTGCATAGAATATACCATTGCAGATAAAACAAAGCAATGCAAAAAGTCTTTTATTTGTGAACCCTGATGCGAGAAACCTGTTAAGTGAAAGAACTCTTTTTACCTTGGAAGGAAGAGGTGAAGGATCTGGCTTAAAAAAATAAAACAACTTTATTTATTAAACCATATTATTTGATTACTTGTTAGAATTTCATAAGCAATAATTAAACGTGTCTTTATAGATATTTCAGGAATGTATACATATTGTGAGTAATGCTTTCAAAAGTTATGAAAATCATGAACTACCCCAGAATTGAACTATTGTACTTCCAAAGAAAATTGGGCTGTTTATAAAGACTTTAATAGAGAAAGATCCCAGGGATCGGTCATAATTGGTCTTGTTTGATAATGTGGACATCCACAAACAAACAAATAACAGAAACAAAATCTGTAAATGTTCCTTTGTAAAACTTGTAAATTTTATTTATACTGTCTTGTTTTGTACACACATTTCTCTGTAGTGGGCTCTGAATACATTGAAAATGCACTATATTTTTCTATTTTACTTGCAGAGCATCACAAAAGAACAGGTATTTTCAGTGCTACATGATGTGTTTTCCCACATTTAGGACCAAAGATGGCTACAGAAAAACTCAAATGGATTGCTTCCCAAACCCCTCCCCACCCTTTTTTTTTTTCCTTTTAAATCACTGTACAGTGTTACTTGATATTTTAATTTATTTTTGATTGACTAGAAAAATCATTTTAATTTCACTAAAATGTTTTTGTCCCTAAGGAAAAATAATCTGTAAAAATAATTTTAATTAGCATAATAGTCACCTAGACACTTCCATTTGTAATCTTTGTAATAGACTGTAAATATATTTTTGGAACTATAACACAACGTGCTTGAGGGTTATTTTTCAGTGTCTGCAGTGTATACAAGTGTTTATACTAAGTACAGCACTTTACAATCCTAATCAGTAGCATTGGCCTTTGTGAGAATGAGTGAAAGAGTTTGAGTGAGTGTTCTTAATTCCGTTTGGATTCTAGACTCACTAATAATGAAGTTCTTTTCTCGTTCATAGCTTAAGGTGCTTATTTTTTCTATTAAAATTAAATTAACAAAAAGCCATTCTAGAAATAGAAGACATAGTATGGAACATGCAAATGGTGTCTTTCCTGCTTTTTTCTAGCACTAGATTTATAGTTGAGTAGTCTTTCTTGAGTAGAAGGGCAGAATAAAAGTTTTTTTGAGTTTTTTTTCAAAAATAACTTTTTCCTTCAGCAATATACCTCATCTGCCTTAAATTTTTTACAGCTCTTTACAGGGAAAGGGGAGAAGGGATGGGAAAGACACACAGCACAATAGGAAGTGTATGATTACATCACTATCTCTCATTTGTAGGTTTCTTTTCTCAATCAACATTATAATTTTGAAAGTATGCGTATGTGAATAAACATTAGGAGAAAAAGAATTAACATTGTAATGCTGATTGTAATACTCTCTTCCAGAAAGAGATGAGATGGTATAATGATAAGAATGTACAACTTGCACCTTGAAATCTTTTTTGATAAATTAGTGCTCAGGGGAGGAAAAGTAAGGAAAGTGAACGTCAAAAATGAAATTCCAAAATTATAAAAATGCAAAAGGAAATGGCCTCCTTGCTTTAATAGAGCCACCTTTTATAAAATGCTGTCTTCAGTCTTGACCTGTATTTTGCATTCAGTACTGAAATAAAAGTAACTTTTACTACATCTGAATCTAACATTTTCTCAGCAACTGATCTGGGATTTGTTTACAAGAGCTGGTGGTTTATGCTTGTCAGAGCACTATTAGTTGAATCATATTGTATACTTATGTAATCTACATTAGCTAGTACTATTTAGGACTATATTTTAATTGCTCCTCTTATCTGTGTTTTAAAGACAATTAAAATGGTGTGATTCACCTCTCTTTTTTTATTTAGGTAATGCTGATATTCTCCCTTTTGTTTCCTGAGTAGCCTGGAACTGTGCTACTCTCTGATGTGCATGTTCAAATAAATTACTGATGTGTATTTTTTTGCTATATGTGGAGAAATCATGGGAAACTTGGGGCGAGATGTGCTTTTTGTTGGTTGAATTTGTCCCTCCTTGCCTAAGAATTACTACAGGGGTCATCCTTTTATAAGGACAAACTGCTTTTGAACAGTGTCTTCCATGTATCAAGCACAAATAACTCTTTCTTCAACACGAATCATAAGTCTCTTTTTACCAGCTTAAAATAATAAACGAGTCTGTTAGACAATGTAAAGAAAATCCTGTCTCTAATCATTGGTGAATTCCTTTTTGTCCCTTACACATTCTTTATTTTCTTACACAATAACATGAGAAGAGATAAAGTTTTATTGAAATAGTTCAGTGGAGTGATCAGAATATGAATAAAAATTAATGTCCCTAGCTTCCTCTCATCCTCTTGCACACTGACTTAATTCCACCGTAATTATTCCTGAACCAAGACTATGTCTTCAAGGACCCTACTGTCGAAAATTTTAGTTTAAATTCCTTATTTTTTCCTGAAGCTAATACCACTTGCAAATATGTCTTTTGTGGTCCCTGTCAGGTGTTACGGATGTAACAGGCAACTTGGAGCTTTTGCACTTAGGCTCCTGGAGGAAGAAAATCCAGACCAAATGGGAATAGAGATAAATCCGATTGTGCTATTCAGTTGTTTAACATTAACACTGACTCAGTGATCGCTTCAACTTGCACCTGAAATTAAGAGTCAAATACTCTCTACCAGCACCATCTCCACCTCTATAAACATGAATCTCAAGCATGTTTCAAGAAAATAATAATAAGTTTGGGGATTCAGCTCAGTGGTTCCACCGCCTGCCTCGCAAGTGCAAGGTCTGGAGATCGATCCCTAGTACCTAATAATAATAATAATAATAATAATGATGATAGTAATAATAATAATAACAACAACAACAACAACAATAATAAGCAAATGGCACATGCAGTTCTGTCACTAGCTATTGCGTTTGGGAAGCCTGTGCCTGGGCTAGGCTGAACTAAATTTCAAAAATAATCATGAAATTTAGGCCTGTCTCTGCCTATTCCTGACATAAATGCAAATGAATGGTGGTGAAGATCCAAGGCATAAATGAGGAAAAGAAAAGAAGTGACAAGCAACACTGTCATTAATTTTTACACAGCGGTAATTACACAGCCTGGAACACTGAGGGATAACCCTGAAATTATCAAATTACAGTACTAGATTTATAAGTGGCACAAATCTATACTATCCTATCAGAGCTCTTTTCCTCTGACACTATAAAGCCATTATTTAAAAGTACAAAGAGTCTACTAAGAAAACAATGTTTTAATATATGTGGTATCAGTAACAGTTTTTTTGTTGAGTACTTATCTTGTACTTTTACCCTTTGTTTTATATTGTTAACTGCAATGAAAGCTCAGCATCAGTTTTGAAGAAATCTGCTGAAAGGAAGGAATACAAATGAAAGACATGATCAAATTTCTAAAATCAAAAGACCGTAGCTATAGTCATTCAGTGATAAAAGACCATGCATGGTACTTGGCAAACTTTCAAGTTTCTCTAAAGAGAACAGCATCCTCCTGGCCTTGTGTCAGTGGCCCTGTCACAGCCCCCACCTCTTGTGCTCATTTGTCTGATGCATCTCGGCATAGCTGGAAAAATATGAGCAGGAGAATAAAATATATTTCAAGATGCTTCTGTGAATCTCATTAGAGTTAAATGCTCTAAGTGTGCTTTTTTTTCTAGTTCAGTGATAGAATGTAATTAAATCTGTAATTAAACAATAAAAAACCTCTTCTGACTGACCTTGAGGTTAAAATAAATATAATTAATTGTTCCAATTTAATTGGGCCTACTGCATAAAGGAGAGATATGCAGTAATGCTAGTCTATTATATTTTAAGTAGGTAACAAAAGAAGAGATTCCTTAGGTATTAAACAGTAGCAGGTATTCCTAAATTTGATAATTTAACAAAATAACAAGTAAGTGCAATCTACAGTAAACCTTCCTGAATAACAAAGTTCTGTCACTCATAACATGTACTTGTTAGTTCAAATATCCCCAAGATTCTATTACAGAATATTACATTTGTTTTCCTTTGAAAATCATGACCTATATATTTATAGACTTTATATATAAGTAAA